CACCCATAGTGAAATCTTATTGGTCCCAAATCTTAAATAAAAAAATAGAAAATATAATGTGTGCAAAATGTATTTAGGAGTACATGTGCGAATGACAAGTGTTAAGTCTTTTTATTCCCTTCAATTGGTCATTTACAGGCTCACAAACAATGAACACCACGCATTTATGACAAACGATTTCTTATGATCTCCCATTGATGAATTATGACTATAAATGTTTACTTTATGATTTTTAGACTGTAATGTGTTATAGACAGGTGTAAGAGTGCATATTTTATTTCCTTTATCCGATGAGCAGCTGGAATTAGTAAAGACATTTCAAAATAAGAGTCCTGCTGTAGTTTGGGCTTGTTTATAATTAAAAGTCCTGCATTATGCAGAAATTTTTTTTTCTGGTTATTATTGGTACTTCGGTTAACTGTAAACTGTAATAAACCGTATCTGGCAATTAATTAAAATGTAAATAATTGCATAAAATATAAATAAATAATCCCATAATTATTAAATAGTGAAGCAGAAATATTTAAAAACCTAGTGTACTTTTTGTATTACAATAATTGTCTCCTCATATCCCTTTATTAAGGGAAACAAATGTATTTATTCATTTTCATTGTGCCACAACAGTTCTTATATGCTCATACATTTTCCAAATTAGGAACACAAAGTAAGCATCAAGAGATTTAGTCACTTCATGTAGTATTTTGCTTTTAGTATAAACGCAAAAATTACTTGACAGTGAAAGCTTTGAGCTTTATTGTGTGCAGTGCACATGTATTCAGTGTGTATTTAACATCTGAAAAACAGAGACCACGATGAGACTTTACCAGGCTCTCCAATCTCTTGGCAACGATCGAGGCGAAGCGTCTCTCTCCAGCCAGTTCAGAGATGAGGAAGATATACTCTGGAGCTGTAACCTGATTTGAGCGATGCGTTCGACCTAAGATACACAGCCACAATATTAGCAACCTCCACGACGCCTCTCAAACACACATGCAAACACACACAGACACTCACCGAACTGCTGGATGGCGCGGTCTGCGCTCCACGGCAGCTCTAAAGTCATGTGAACTCTTCTCCTGCGGTTCTGCACGCGTTTATCCGCCTGTAGAGAGATGCCCGAACTGGCTGCTTCAGAGATGATGGCTATCAGCTAAAAGAGAGAAAGATAAAGAGCATTAGTCCAAACATTCAGAACGGCGCTGAGTTCGATCTGGACGTGGTGTTCTGTGTAGGGCTGCACGATAATGGTTAAACTGATAATCACGATTATTTTTATTCAAATTATAATCACGATCATTAATAATGATTATTCTATCATATACACTGACTTAATTTAACCAACTATGATAATACAAAACTCATGCTTTTGGTTAGTGTTGTTTTGTAATCTGTATACACATTAGATTTTCTAAGTGACAATTTGTTTGCAAATGAGTCAAACCACTCAGAAATTTGCTCAAAAATCGTTAATACACACTGAAAACTAACATTGCTGATTAACATTATGAAAACTGGTAAAAACTTGTTGGTAGAAGCTCCCAATATTACTTCCGATAATTCCAATTTATGTACATTTTCCACAAACAGCACAAATGGCTTGTGAAAAACACACATTGGCTGTATGACACTGTCAGAAATCAGAAAATGTTTTCATATCATCAGCGCTTGTTCCGCCATCAGTCAGCGCGCGCACAGGGTTGCCAGATTGCACAGATTAAGTAAAACATAGGGCAGAAAGTGCATCCTTAAAGGAGAAAAGCTTTGTTTTGGGGACTTAAAGGGATAGTTCTCCCAAAAATGAAAGTGTGATGTTTATCTGCTTACCCCCAGGGCATCCAAGATGTAGGTGACTTTGTTTCTTCACTAGAACACAAACAAAGATTTTTAATACAAACCGTTGCAGTCTGTCAGTCATATAATGGAAGTGGATGGGAATCACGCCTTTGAGAGTAAAAAAAACATTCACAAACAAAACCAAATTAAACCTTGCGGCTCGTGATGATACATTGATGTATAAAGACACGAAACGATCCGTCTGTGCAAGAAACTGAACAGTATTTATATAGTTTTTTACCTCTGATTCACGCAATGTCAGAACTGTCCTGAGCGGCGGCACTTCCTCCTGAGCGCGTTCTCAACAGCCGGTGCGTGACACGTCTTCTTCTTGCTTTACGGCGGATTGCAGACTTATAAGTGCATTACCGCCACCTATCTCAAATGGACCATTTTCCCTCCATCTACAATCTCAATTAGGAGTGTTAATGGTCCATTTGATATAGGTGGCGGTAATGCACTTATAAGTCTGCAATCCGCCGTAAAGAAAGGAAGGAAGGAAGGAAAGAAGGAGAAGGAGAAGGAGAAGAAGAATCAGGCGCCGGCTGTTGAGCGCGCTCTGGACAGTTCTGACATTGCGGTGAATCAGAGGTAAAAAACGACATAAATACTGTTCAGTTTCTTGCACAGACCGATTGTTTTGTCTTTACACATCAATGTGTCATCACCAGCCGCAGGGTTTAATTTGGTTTTGTTTGTGTATGTTTTTTTTGACTCTCAAAGCCGTGATTCCCATCCACGTCCATTATAAGACTGACAGACTGCAATGGTTTGTGTTAAAAATCTTCGTTTGTGTTCTACTGAGGAAACAAAGTCACCTACATCTTGGATGCCCTGGGGGTAAGCAGATAAACATAACATTTTCATTTCTGGGTGAACGATCCCTTTAATCTCTTCACATCTGGCAGCCACAAGTATGAACGCTAGTGAAGACTTGTTAGCAATGCAAGATAACGCAAATGCCAAATTAAAAACACGTTTTCAGAATAAATAACGAGCCGGCCAATATTGCGACGATTGTTTTTAATTAATCGTGAAAGGTGGATATCGTTATCGAGATTAAAATACGATTAATCGTGCAGCCCTAGTTCTGTGTTTGTAGGTCAGAGGTCGTCACCTTCTCTCCGTTCATGAACCGCTCTTTCTCTCTGACGTTGACGTGGTCGATGGTCAAGCCCTGCTCCGCTCTGGTCTCATATCGAACGCTGCCATCAGAACGCCGCACTACACGTCCCTTACGACCCGTCATCTACACACACACACACACAGATATATTTAGCATTTAACTTGTGTAAAACAACATCACATTGTGAGTCTAACACACAGATGTGAACAAGCACCTTAAGTGTCTCAAATTTTTTTTTAAAAATCCTAATAGCAGTGTTATTTTTGTGTAATTTATATACTATTATAGTATTTATGGATATTTTGAATGAGCTTTTATTTTTATATTTTCAGTTTTCATTTTCATTGCTCCGCTCTGGTCTCATATCGAACGCTGCCATCAGAACGCCGCACTACACGTCCCTTACGGCCCGTCATCTACACACACACACACACGCGCGCACACACACAGATATATTTAGCATTTAACTTGTGTAAAACAACATCACATTGTGAGTCTACCACACAGATGTGAACAAGCACCAAGTGTCTCAAAAAAATAAAAAAATCCTAAGAGCAGTGTTATTTTTGTGTAATTTATATACTATTATAGTATTTATGAATATTTTGAATGAGCTTTTATTTTTATATTTTCAGTTTTCATTTTCATTTCATTTAAGTTTTAGTAATTTAGTTTTTTGTCATTTTCTTTTTTATATATATATATTTTAACTTATCTGTAATTTTTTTTATTTATATTTATTTCAGTTGTAATTTTAGTACTTCAACTTTTTCTATTTTAAGCAGTTGCCAGGGCAACCATTTCTCGGTTTCATTTAAGTAAAAAAAAAAAAGTTTATTTTTAGCTTTAATTTATATTTATTTCAGTTGCAATTTTAGCACTTTCAACAAACATTTTCTATATAAGGCAGTTACCTAATATTCTCATTTTCATGTAAGTTTTTAAAAATATATATATTTCTATTTATTGCCATTGTACTTTTAGTCATTTTAGTACTTCAACAAACTTTTTTTATTCCAAGTAGTAACCCGGGCTTCTAGCTTTTTCTTTTTCTTTAATATTCCTATTTAGCTTAAATGAATATTTAATTCCTTTTTAGTTGTATTAATTGTAGTACTTAAACTTATTTTATTTCAGGTAGTTCCCAGGACAAAATTTCTAACTTTCATTTAAGTTTTTTTAGTTTTCATGCAATACTGATTTTATTATTTACCTATTTTATTAATAATTTATTTTTATGTATCATAAATTATACATGTAATCTATTAGATTCTAATATTAGATTAGTTTCTGTATTTGCTTATTTTTTTAGCTTTATTTCAATTAACCAAAATTATTTTAAATCGGTTTTATTTGGTTTCCTGGCAGACTGAAAAAAATTGTCATATTTGAATCAGAGTTTGAGAAAACCCATCTTTCTTGTGTCAAATTTCCATCAGATGGTCTGTGAATGCTTAGATGTGCTGTCAGTGGTTGAGACTAAACGTAAGTCAGTAATATGAAAATTACAATGTTGCCGTCTATATTTAGTGTTCATGTAACTGTTTCAAACACACTTGTGAGCGACAACACGATGCACTGCAGCGACTCCTCACCTCAGACACCTTCTCTGGTCCTCCAAACCTGTCAATCAGCTCGTCAAGAGTGTTAAGCGGCAGCTCTTTCCCCAGCTCTGCTATTTTATCCAGCAGACTCTGCTTGAGTTCTTCTAGTTTAGCTGAAAACACACAGAGGATGACTTCAGCAGAGTCTGGAACAGACCTTAACCACTCCTTTGTGGCTTAGCCGTCTAGACTGAAATCTGCCCTGATTTAATAAGCGTGAGCTGCACTTCCTGAATGAACAGGACGGCGTGAGCAAATTCTTTCAGAACACATAGTGATAAGGTTGTAGGGCTGCACGATTAATCGAATGCGATTGTCATGCGTATCTTGTCAGTAAAGCCGGTTCTGTGATTAGTAGTAAATCTCCATCACGTGCTTTCAAATAGAGCAGCATTTACTACACAGAGCCGTAGTTCACTGACAAGCTACGCAAAATCGCGTTCATAATCGCAGACGATTTAATTGCACGATTATGAAATCAAACAAATCGTTCTGTGATTCTGAAAGCTGTTTGCGTAGCTCGTCAGTGAACTATGGATCTGTGTAGTAAATTCTGCTCCATCTGGAAGCACGTGAAAATACCACATTTAATAACATGTTTTTACTCCAAACTTGATAAATATTGCATTTCTCATGTAAAAAATAAATAAATAAAAAAAAGTGTCAGGTTTGCTGTGCTTGTTTGGCCCAAAATTTTGTAATTATATACTGATAAGACCATAAAATGGCAACAACAACAACAATAATTATATATTGAAAAGACTATAAAATAATAATTATTATTATTATTATATTATTTTATAGTCTTAATACATTATTATTATTATTTTATACATTTTCATTATATAAATCACAAAATTATTATTATTATTACTAAATTAAACTTGATGTAGCAAAATATCTAAAGCTAAAAATCAATAATAAAAAGTACTAGAACTAAACAAAAACGACAAAATTAATCAAATATTATAATGAAAATTTAAAATATAAAAATATGCACACCAAAGCTGCATTTATTTGATTAAAAAAAAACAGTAAAAATAACAATATTTTGAAATATTATTACAATATATTATCATTGCTATTTTATACTTTTTACATTATATAATCACAAAATTATTATTATTACTAAATGTTAAAAAATAAGAAATAATATTATTGTAATATTTTATATACTACTATTGTAATTTGTAGTATCTTTTATAAAATAAGAAAAAAAATATCATCAAGCTTTCATTTTGACAGGGAAGCCCTTAAAGGATTAGTTCACCTCATAATTTACTCACCACTTAAGTCCAGTATATAGAGAAAAACCCTGGAATGTTTTCCTCAAAAACCTTAATTTCTTTTCGACTGAAGAAAGAAAGACATGAACATCTTGGATGACATGGGGGTGAGTACATTTTAATCCAGAAGTGAGCTAATCCTTTAAAGGGATAGTTCACCCCAAAATGAAAATTTGATGTTCATCTGCTTACCCCCAGGGCATCCAAGATGTAGGTGACTTTGTTTCTTCAGTAGAACACATTTGATGATTTTTAAGTCCAACCGTTGCAGTCTGTCAGTCGTATAATGCATGGCAATGGTAACAAAATCTATGAGAGTAAAAAAAAAACATGCACAGACAAATCCAAATTAAACCCTGCGGCTCGTGATGACACATTGATGTCCTAACACACGAAACGATCGGTTTGTGCCAGAAACTGTTTATATAATTTTTTACCTCTAATACACCACTATGTCCAACTGCTTTGGGCGCGCGCGCGGCATCCGGTGCGTGAGGTGTGTACGCGCTCTGGCGTAGTTTACACAAGTGCCGGAAGTGATCTCTCGCGCATATACGTCACTCATTGTTTACACAGTGCACAAACATTGTAGGTACGACGGCTAATCAAAATGGTACTTACTTGCGCTTATCCAGATTGTTCAAACCGACTTAAAACTAAAAGATTACGTTCTCTCGCGCCAACTCATTCCGGAGTTATGACTTTCCACGTATTCCCAACTTCTGAGCCTGCTCGCCTGAAGTTATGGTTGATTGCTCTTCGGCTGGATATATGCCAGAGCGCGTACACACCTCACGCACCGGAAGCCGTGCGCGCACAAAGACAGTTGGACATAGTGGTGAATTAGAGGTAAAAAATTATATAAATACTGTTGGGTTTCTGGCACAAACCGATCGTTTCGTGTCTTAGGACATCAATGTGTCGTCACGAGCCGCAGGGTTTAATTTGTCTGTGCATGTTTTTTTTTTTACACTCATAGATTTTGTTACCATTGCCATGCATTATAAGACAGATAGACTCCAACGGTTGGACTTAAAAATCATCAAATGTATTCTACTGAAGAAACAAAGTCACCTACATCTTGGTTGCCCTGGGGGTAAGCAGATAAACATCACATTTTCGTTTTTGGGTGAACTATCCCTTTAATGCTTCTCTTTAGTTGACAGCAATCGGTTTATAAGTTCAGCCTTTGCGATTTGATAATCGTACTAAGTCATATGTGACCCTGGACCACAAAACCAGTCTTAAGTGTCAATTTTTTGAGCTTTCCATTGATGTATGGTTTGTTATGATCGGACAATATTTGTCCGAGATACAACTATTTGAAAATCTGGAATCTGAGGGTGCAAAAAAATCAAAATATTGAGAAAATCGCCTTTAAAGTTGTCCAAATGAAGTTCTTAGCAATGCATATTACTAATGATGATACATTTTTGATATATTTATGGTAGGAAATTTGCTAAATATCTTCATGGAACATGATCTTTACTTAATATCTAATGATTTTTGGCATAAAAGAAAAATCGATAATTTTGACCCATACAATGTATTTTTGGCTATTGCTACAAGTATACCCCAGCGACTTAACACTGCTTTTGTGCTCCAGGGTCATATATCGTGATTTCAGCTTAATTTTGATTAACCGTGCAGCCCTATTACTGCGTAAGGATATTTAAAACCCAGTCAAACCTTTCCATGGGTTTTCAACGAGCGAAAGCACAAATCTTAATCACTGACTCACCTTGCCGTGCTGCATCTCAGTATGAGCGAGTTCAACCAGACGACGGACTTTAGCGGCGATGCACAGGTACTTAAAAAACCTCTGGTGTGACGACCAGAACTGACCCCACAGAGACTTACGGGAGGCCAGACCCAACGTCTTCGCAGCTTTGGTGAAAAGCTCGAGAGCCTCGGCCCACTACACAGAGGAAAAAAAGACTTTAACTTCCATCTAAAACATTATTTGGGACAAACGGATTCAGCCACAAGTCCCCCAGGCTGTCTGTGTCAGCATTTCTCTCACCAGTCTAGCTGCTTTGTTGTAGACCAGTTTGAACTCTTTGTCCAGTGTAATCTCCTCTACACGGAAGGACACTCCGGAAAAGCTCAGCTGGCGTGCGATATACATGCCACTCACTTTCATATCCATGGCAACAATCTCCATGGCACCAACACCCCTGGAACATGAACATGAGCAATTATTTAGTCAGATAAAAGGAAACATGAAAGCCCTGTGCTGCGTCCCAATTCGCCTACTTATACTATGCCCTAAAAGTATGTACATACTTTTGAGCATGTAGAAGAATAGTAGGCAAGCTTTGGGACATACTACTTCGTCATAGCTGCTTCTTTAACGGACGCTCTGTTGCTTAGTTACGTGCATTCTGTCACTGTTTAAACTGCCCTGTCAATCATCTTATCACAGTTAACATCATCCTCATTTCGCTTAATTTCATTTCCTACCGTATTGGAGAGAAATGAAAGAGACACGTTGATCTGCTAGTCGCGGGTCTATCATGCCGAGAACTCTGCTCATGTGTTTGCATAATGATGCATTTAAAAGTTAATGACCAAATGTATCATTAGAAACGTTCACAGTGTTGCTGCAGATGAAATATAACGTGGATAACATTACATTTATATTTTTTCATCACTCAAATCCGTTTATCTACCTGTCCATTGGTCGCGTATATCCGCCATCTTTGTAGTTTTTTAAAAACACTTTTAATGCGTGTTTGTAGTTCTAATTAAATCGTCATCCACCACGCAATGTGTTGTGGGCAATATTAGCCATTAAGAGTAGTAGACAATCCGGGAATCTTTGGCATACTTTTTTAAACATACTATGATTTGGGACATACTAATTCTATTTTCGAATACTATTTAGGACGGATAGTATGCGAATTGGGATGCAGCACTGATCTCTGTGATACTGAGCATGACCTCTGACCTCTTCTCAATAGCATGCAGGAAGTCGTCAAACGTCTTGAACGGCGTTCCTTGCCCCCAGATCCCCAGTCGGCTCATGTATATCATATTCTTTGGCTCCGAAGCACCTGTAGATCGAAAATGGTGTAGGCGGAAAACTCAGATCTCATGAATCCACAGACCAAGAGATCAGAATGCATGAAACCATAATGAACCTTTTTTATGGGGATTTGGCTACGGTTACTTTGGAAAATAACTAATCAACCAAATCAAAAAGATCTAAAAAAAAAAAAAAACTTTAAGAGGAATAAAATAAAATATAAAAAACTTTTATTTCAGCTAGTCGTCAAGGCAACACTTTTCATTTTCATTTAGTTAAACGTGATGTACTAAAATATCTAAAACTAAAAATGTATAAAAAAATTAGACATGTAATACTAGAACTAACAAAAATGACTAAAAACAACAAAATTAATAAAACATTATAATGAAAATGAAACCTGAAAATATAAAAATATGCACACCAAGGCTGCATTTATTTGATCAAAAAGAGTAAAACCAATAATATTGTGAAATATTATTTAAAAAAAATTATATTTTAATATATTTGAAAATATTTAAAGTAAATTATTTGCAAATATTTATTCCTGTGATGACAAAGCTGAATATAGAAAGCTTCTGTAACATTATACACTACCGTTCAAAAGTTTTTTTGGGGAAAAAAATTAAATAAATTAATACTTTTATTCAGCAAGGACGCATTAAATTGCTCAAAAGTGAGAGTAAAGGCATTTATAATGTTACAAAAATTTATATTTCAAATAAATGCTGTTCTTTTAAACTTTGCATTCATCAAAGAATCCTGAAAAATAAAATAAGTTACAGTTTCCACAACAATATTTGTCAGCACAGCTGTTTTTAACATTGATGATAATCAGAAATGTTTCTTGAGCAGCAGATCAGCATATTATACTGATTTCTGAAGATCATGTGACACTGAAGACTGGAGTAATGATGCTGAAATTATGCTGTTATTTTAAATTGTAATACTATTTCACAATATTACTGTTTTTGCTGTATGGATCAAATAAAGGCAGCCTTGGTGAGCAAAAGAGACTTCTTTTGACATTATAAAAATCTTACAAACACCCACCTGTGGCACTAGCATACACAACTCTCGCCCGGGGCAGTTTGTTCTGCAAGTCCAGGACGGCTTTACCCATTTTGGTGGAGGTCGCATTTTTAGCCTTATGGCACTCGTCAAACACAATCTGAGGTTAAAGGTCAAGGGTCAACAGCACTGCTATAATACTTTTGTTCATGCATATTAAGAGTTAATTAGTATTCAGCTACTGTGTGAACTAAGATGCTACACAGAGGTTAGCCAATCATAACACAGATCATTTGCATATCGTGTTATACATAAGTCTTAAAGGTACAGAAGCAAAAACACCATGCAACCTTGTAAATAAGTCCCCTTTGAAAACAACGGACACTAATTTATGCCACAGAGGTTTACAAATACTGCTGAATGGTGATTTCCAGCTAGTCACTACTTTCTAGAAGATTTCAAATGCATGCACAAGCTGGAAGTGAAGGATACGACTCCATCGAAGTTGGGTTTGCACCAGTCCAGGATCTGTTTGAGTCTGGTGCGGTGCTGCCCGCCGGCCTGGCTCTCTCCAATCAGCGCTGAGTATGTGGCGAATAAAACGCCCTCTGAGGTAGCCATATCTCCGTATTTAATCTGTGTGAAAGAGGAAAAGCAGACATAGACATTTAATGACCCAACAAGAAATAAGTAACATGACTGAACCAAAGTCTCCAGACCAGAGCGCAAGAAAGCAAAATACATACAAGTATATTTTTGAATATTACTAGTTCACACAAATATGTGACCCTGGAGCACAGAAGCAGTGTTAAGTCGCTGGGGTATATTTGTAGCAATAGCCAAAAAAACATTGTATCATTAGGATATTAAGTAAAGATCATGTTCCTTGAAGATATTTTGTAAATTTCCTACCGTAAATATATCAAAACTTATTTTTTGATTAGTAATATGCATTGCTAAGAACTTCATTTAGACAACTTTAAAGATGATTTTCTCAATATTTAGATTGTTTTGCACCCTCAGATTCCAGATTTTCAAATAGTTGTATCTCGGCCAAATATTGTCCTATCATAACAAACATACATCAATGGAAAGCTTATTTATTCAGCTTTCAGATGATGCATACATCTCAATTTTAAAAAAAATTGACCCTTATGACTGGTTATGTGGTCCAGGGTCACATATAAATGTTCCTGCTGACTTGCTGTTTTATTCCACAAAATTTTGAGGAATAAATTAAAACACAGCACAAAACTTTTGCTAATGCATACAACAGAAAACAAGACATTTATAAAAGTAAGCTACATACGTGGCTGTGTGATTGTGATGCTCTCATGAGATACTTTAACATTTACTGGCGTATTTTTCATACCTTGTTTTTACCTCTATGACTACAGTATAACAGCGTCACAAACATTTTTGTCAGCCGAAGCCCTTTGACATAAAATGCACTTGAAGTCCATCTGAGATATTAAGTTAATATTTCGACAATTTAACCATATATTCGCAGGTTCAAGGCAGTGTTGTTAACTGAAACCAAAATTAAAACGATTAAAAATAAATGTCGTTGACTGAAATAAAACTGAAATAATAAATAAGCAGATGACAAATATAAACGAAAATTAGAAATGCTGCCTTGACTAAAACTAAAACTGAAATAAAAATAAACGAACACTAACTAGAAATATTAAAATATTAAAATATATATATAACAAAATAATAAAAGTACATAAGATTACTAAAATTAAACAAATGAAAACTGAACGCTGGTTCACAGTTCTCTGATGTCGGTTAATACTCACACAAAATGCAGGTAGACAAATACAATATTTTTCACTATCCTTCTGTTTTTTTATCCTGTTTTTATTGTAAAAGTTCAATAAACAAACTAAGCAAAAAAAATAATTCTTAATATTTGAAAAAATGAAATATTAATCATATATTTTGGTTACACTTTACTTGAAGGGGTGTGCATAAGACTGACATGACACCTTCATAATCATGACATGACACATGTCATGAATATGACGGTTTTTATGCATGTTTATGACAACTGTCATTAAGTGTCATTCGCTCAGTTATGTAATTTTTAATGCAAAGATGACATTGTTTGAGATGTCTTTGTTATGGGCTATGGTTAGGGGTAAGGGTAGGGGTAGGGTTAGGTCAAATAATGTCATATTTACATTAAAAATGACATAACTGAGCGAATGACACTTAATGACAGTTGTCATAAACATGCATAAAACCTCCTTCATATTCATGACATGTGTCATGTCATGATTATGAAGGTGTCATGTCAGTCTTATGCACACCCCTTCAAGTAAAGTGTAACCAATATTTTCAGCAAGTTTTTTTATTTTGGTTGTTTTTATTTTTTTGTTATTTATGTAAATTTTACATTGTTATGATTTAATTATTTGTTTTTCATCAACTCACAAAGCCTAATTAGATCCCAATTTCCTACCGTAAATATATCAAAACTTATTTTTTGATTAGTAATATGCATTGCTAAGAACTTCATTTGGACAACTTTAAAGATGATTTTCTCAATATTTATATTGTTTTGCACCCTCAGATTCCAGATTTTCAAATAGTTGTATCTCGGCCAAATATTGTCCTATCATAACAAACATACATCAATGGAAAGCTTATTTATTCAGCTTTCAGATGATGCATACATCTCAATTTCAAAAAAATTAACCCTTATGACTGGTTATGTGGTCCAGGGTCACATATAAATGTTCCTGCTGACTTGCTGTTTTATTCCACAAAATTTTGAGGAATAAATGAAAACATGGCACACAACTTTTGCTAATGCATACAACAGAAAACAAGACATTTATAAAAGTAAGCTACATACGTGGCTGTGTGATTGTGATGCTCTCATGAGATATTTTAACATTTACTGGCGTATTTTTCATACCTTGTTTTTACCTCTATGACTACAGTATAACAGCGTCACAAACATTTTTGTCAACCGAAGCCCTTTGACATAAAATGCACTTGAAGTCCATCTGAGATATTAAGTTAATATTTCGACAATTTAACCATATATTCGCAGGTTCAAGGCAGTGTTGTTAACTGAAACCAAAACTAAAACGATTAAAAATAAATGTCGTTGACTGAAATAAAACTGAAATAAAAAATAAGCAGATGACAAATATAAACGAAAATTAGAAATGCTGCCTTGACTAAAACTGAAACTGACTAAACACTAACTAGAAATATTTAAATATTAAAAAATATATAACAAAATAATAAAAGTACATAAGATTACTAAAACTAAATTAAAATGAAAACTGAAATGCTTTAATAGTATGTAAATAATTCTAAATTAACGCTGGTTCACAGTTCTCTGATGTCGGTTAATACTCACACAAAATGCAGGTAGACAAATAAAATACAATATTTTTCACTATCCTTCTGTATTTTTATCCTGTTTTTATTGTAAAAGTTCAATAAACAAACTAAGAAAAAAAATACTTCTTAATATTTGAAAAAATAAAATATTAATAAAATATTTTCTGCAAGTTTTTTATTTTGGTTGTTTTTATTTTTTTGTTATTTATGTAAATTTGACATTGTTATGATTCAATTATTTGTTTTTCATCAACTCACAAAGCCTAATTAGATCCATCACGTCTGGAAAACCCTGATCGAATACATACAATACAGATGAAAATAAAGCAGAGATGATTCAGTTCACAAACCTTATTTAAAGCAAACACAGGGATGTTGGGAGCGTCTATGTCTCGGAGATCTCTCTCAGCATCGTACTTCAGGTCATTTGACACACTGAACCTAAAATATCCAGAAAATCCCTCTGTTATGCATCAATTCATCAGAACGAGTCATGACTGAACGTGAACGTTAGGGATGCATGCAGGTGTTTACCATAGTGCTCTCTTCCGTCCCTTTAAGAAACTCTCCAGTATGATTCCGGCCACAGTGCGGCCCTTCCCGACGCCGGCTCCGTCTCCGATCAGAAACCCTGCTCGCTGACCGTTCTGAAGAATCACCTCGTGTTGCTGAAGAGCACAAAGGCGATTTCATACATTCACACAAAACTCATCAGTGAGTAGGGTTGGGAATCAAAAATCGATTCCGATTCCAGAATCGGAAAGGTTTTTTTTTTTCTTCATCCGTGAGGAACGGACCTAGCGATCTGCCAGGACCTTGCTCACTAATCTAAGCTCTCCAAAGTTTGGCTACGTTTGCGATCAGAAGCCAAAAGAGCTAAGTATAATATCTGTGATAGCTAAACATGTTGCAAGAGAGGTGTCACCACCAACATGACAAAGCACTTTAATTTAATAGATCATTAAAGATCGCGAACGTGATTCAAACACCAACTTGATTCTATTCCTAAATTACAATGATTCGTCTGTTTCATTCATCAACCTTTGATGTGTGCAATCAATGTTGTGATCACATGGTTCACATCAGTGTGATCTGAACATAAATCTGAGTTCACGCTGCCATTGACCTAAAGAGAGCAGCTGTCCTCTGTCATGAATGAAACAGCTTCACAGTCTTTTCAGACACACAGTATCATTATTTCTGTGTTACAAACATTCAAATCACAGAAGTACTGGGATAAAAGTTTGTAGTTCAGATATAAACTGTGTGTACAATGTGTACGGTAGCGATTAAAATAGAGTAAATCACCTTTTGAAAGTAATTTGACACTTCAAATGAAGATTTATCGATTACATTGTTACGCCAGTAGGTGGCGAAAAGGGGCTGTTAAAATGTATTTGTCTTTGAATCATACAAGAGATTTGTTCAAGAACGCTGATTCATCCAGTAATGAAACAAGTACATCTTGAGTGAGTCATTGAATCATTCATTAAAAAATTACATGTGATTTTGTTTAGTTGTCTAATGTTTTTTTTTTTCAGAATCACGAGAGAACCACAACTTCCATTGTGAAAAAAATAAATCAATTTATACAGAATCATGCAGTTCTATTTTACACACAAACAGCTCTTAAAGAGTCCAGTTTTTATGTAGCCTGTTGATTTTTGTTCATGGTATTCAGCTCCAATAAATGGTTTTCAAAAAAGAGACACAGGATAAATGTTTGATATCATTATTTAATCACATTGGAATCAAAACTGGGAATCAAAAAGAAATGGAATTGATAAAATTCAAACGATGCCCAACCCTATCAGTGAGTGGAAAGAGAAGAGCAGAGAGAGTACCTGGCAGGCGTAGATGATGGCCTCCAGCTGCAGGGCGGACAGCAGGCCGGAGCTAATGCTGCTGGGGGGAATGGACAGTGTGTAGGTGATGTCAGGAGGAGGAACGCTGGACAGTGTGTTGGTCTCCACCACGATGTCAGGGTGAGAGACTCCTATAGCAGCTGCACATGTGAACAGAGCAATTATTTGCCACGGAAGCACCACAAAATATGAAATCAAGTTGCATTTGTGCTGTAAGAGGGATTGGGCAGCATGACTTTTATTCATTTTAAAGGGGTCATGAACTGGCTTTTTTATTATTTTGTACTGTTCTCTGAAGTCCACTTATAATGTTATCAAGATTTTTACATCAAAAAACATAATAGGCTATTTTCTGTCCTGTTTTGACCCTCTCTCATCTGATCGCTCTGTTTGAATAGGTGTGGTGGATTGTAGACTCAGAAGTAAACGTTCACTGCTGTGATTGGCTAACAGTTGTGTATGTTTGACAGCTACATCCTTCACAGATGGGCGCTGCTGTGATTTAGGTTAAAAACCACACAAGTACATGTCAAACGATCTGTAATGACAGACAAATCAATAGTGAGCACGTAATAAAAACAGTTCCTCACACTTGTGGGGTGCGACATTACTGTCAGATCCGATATATTCAACACAGCATCGTCTTTTAGTTTCAAAACATGTAGTGATTAAGAATCGTTGGGCGGGGCTAAAGAGGCAGTGATGTAGAATCGGTGGGCGGGGCTAAACAAGTAGTGATTAAGAATCGTTGGGCGGGGCTAAACAGGCAGTGATGTAGAATTGGTGGGCGGGGCTAAAAAGGTAAACGTTTTACTATGAAGGGCCAAAAAACAAAAAACTTGATTGAAAGCTTTGAAGTGACGTGACATGTGGCCAAGTATGGTGACCCATACTTGGAACTAGTGCTCTGCATTTAACCCATCCAAAGTGCACACACACAGCAGTGAACACACACCCAGAGCAGTGGGCAGCCATTTATGCTGCAGCGCCCGTGGAGCAGTTGGGGGTTCGGTGTCTTGCTCAAGGGCACCTCAGTCGTGGTATTGAAGAGAGAGAGCGCTGTACATTCACTCCCCCCACCTACAATCCCTGCCGGTATGAGACTCGAACCCACAACCTTGGGTTACGAGTCAGACTCTCTAACCATTAGGCCACGACTTCCCCTTACATTTAAATGCAAAAATTAAACAAAAAAATAAAAATAAAAGTTTAAATTAAGATACGCTTTAACGTCATGTTTTTCCCCCTGTTTTTTTCCTACTATATAATAAAATAAAAAGTCAAATAAAATCATATGTATCTCAGATTATTTTACTTAATTAGACAGCATGGGGCACACATTAAATAAGGAATTAATACTAACAAGATACCAATAACCAGGGGGGAAAATATTTTATGCATAATGTAGGACTTTTAATTATAAACAAGTCCAAAATACACCGGGACTCTTATTTTGATATGTTTATGTATTGCTACTTCCAGCTGCTCATTCAAAAAGATGAAAAGGATCAAATATGGACTCTTTCAAGCATCTACAACATATTACAGTATAAACACTATAAAACATTGTCATTATGCATTAACAGTACATAAGAAATTGTTTGGCATAAATCCATGGTATTAATTGATTGCGAGCCTGTAGCACGTGAAACTGCGCAGAGTTTTGACTTTGAACGCGCAGCGCTTGGATTAATTTAATTAAATCAATGCTTTTTGAAGTTTAATAATCACATTAGGCTGTATCGTGATTACTGTTATTCAGTTTCTAAATTTAAGACCTCCTAAATTGATAATGAAGACATTTCTATACCATTTAAACCTTTAAAATATTACAATATACCATTTAAAATATTTGAGAAGGATCTTAACATGGATCTTAAAATCACTATGTCATGTTATACACCATTACCGGGATATAAAAATACAAATTTGGCTCATACTGCCCACTCATGTGCTGTAGATTAATATGATACGGCATGTCTATTTACATTTGGATGGCTTGTATTCGGCGTACGTGTCCGCATGCCCCAAATCCTCCGTCTCTTCCTCATCTGCCTCCTCCTCTTCCTCCGGTGGCGGCGGCGGAGGAGCAGCAGCCTGGAGAAATTAAGGAATGAAGGGGCAGAAAACTAAAGATGATGAAATGTGGTGAAACAGAGGATAGAGTATTAGAGAAAAAGAGAGGCTCTACCTTAAATCCTGCGACCGACGCAGACAGGATAGGTGGATCCAACCTACCAGGAAACGCGCTCAGGTTCTGCTGAAGAACACAGATACAGTGATGTTGAACACTCGTATGAAATTTACACAAGAGAAATGAGACTCTACATGCTAATATTATTGACAACACATATAAACTTTACTAGTGGTGAGTATTAAAGGGATAGTGCACCCAAAAATAAAAATTCTGTCATCATTTTCTCAACCTCAAGTTGTTTCAAACCTGAGTTTCTTTCATCCGTTGAGCACAAAAAAAGATATTTTGAAGAACGCTGGTAACCAATCAGTGGACGGTAGCCATTGACTTCCATAGTATGGAGACAAAAATACTATGGCAGTCAATGGCTACTGTTTTGGAACAACTTTTTTTTTTTTTTGGGTGAAGACAAAAAGACAAAATAAATAAATAAAATTAAATTAATTAATATTATTACAATTAAATATATATAATAATAAAAAAATCTATATAATTAAAATTATAAAATTAAAAATATTATAATAAAAAATACAGAAATATTATGATTGTAAAAAAGACAATATTTAATAATAGAAATAATTTTATTTTACAGTAACAGTAAAATTTCAATACCAATATTTATGGCTGTATACATTTCTTTGCTTTCAAACATTAAACCACAAAGCTTTTATTTTGGCAGAAAACACTTTTTTTTTAAATTTACGAGTCAAACTCTTCAGGTTGGAGAATGTATACAGAATTCTGTATAAATACAGAAAAATCACATCTTTGACTATTGAACATTGAGCTGTTTACTTGCACACAATACACTGATGAGTGCTAAACATCATCGGTTCACACGCAAACCAATAACCTGGCAATGCCAGAAACCTGCGTTTACAGGTTACTCTCATGAAGTGACGTTAAAATGCTAAGTATTCCATTTGTTTTATGAGTTGGGATATTGAATAAAGCATCAAAAACCCCAGAGTTTAAAGCGAAGACACACGCCCATGTTTAGCGATTAAACACCTTAATCCACCTTTAAAGCAGCTTACACAAAAAAAGCATTTAGTACTATAGCAAATTGACCTGACGGTTAAGAAATAAAGTTTGCAGCAATGATATCTTTCCACTTTAACTAGGGCTGCACAATTAATCAAATTTCTAATCGCGATTACAGTTATGGATGTCACAATTACATAATCGTTCAAAGCGGTAATTAATCGTTCGAAGTCCACTTATGTTATTCTGCGTGCTAAAGATGTTTTTCTCTTTCTACAAATTTTCTTAATGTTATCTTAATGTTAGTATAACATTATAATATCATGCATATTTTAACTGTTTTCTTATTTAAAGAAGAAACCAATCCAATGGATAGTTGACATTTGAGGCTTAATACTTAATACTATAGAAAAGCAATACAAGTTTTTCAGTTTGAGGGTTTTCAGCTTGTTTATTTTCAAATAAAAATATGGCATGCAGTTGTTTCAAACAATGGTATAAACATCATTCAGTGTAAATTGTGATAATCATAATTAATAATCGCAATTACAATTTCAAGGGAATAATCGACAATTATGATTTTTGTCATAATCGTGCAGCCCTAATTTTAACAGTGCAAAATTATACAGTAAGGCTTAAGCTTCAGAACAGCTTGGGACCATTGAAAACCTCAGACAAGTAAATATTGGAGAGAAAAGCAGTGTGTAAATACCTGTCTCTGACTGTGTTCAGGTAAATCCCAGTACATCTGTGGCGCGGGGCCCTCAGCGGGTCGCTGTGCCAGGCTATCACTGCCAAATCTTGAAGGGTCTGGATACTCCGACAGAGAATCAGATGGCGAGGAGAACAGCGATGTGTTGGACAGCTCGTCCATGCTCAGATTCTAAAAATAACCACAAAAACATGTTCAGAAGTTGACACTTCAGCCACTAAAATAATTTCACACATAACAGTTTCATTTTAGATATAGTTATCTAGCCAAAGTGTGTCTGAATGTGTATTTATTTATACTTTCTTACGAGGAAACAAAAAAAAAAACATTTTAATAATGTACTTTTTTATAGTTAACATACTAACACCATTAAAAAACTGTTACTTGAAATAAAATAAACTATAACTGAAATAAAATATTTTAAAAATCTTTTAAAATAAAATATATAAACCTTAAAATAAAATATTTAAAAATATATATATATAAATATTCTCATTTTCATTTAGTTTAACTTGACGTACTTAACTAAGCTGAAATAAAAATTAAAGCATTAAAATGAAAAATAATAAAAATGACAAAAACACACAACTAAAAATAATTTTTAAAATATATGTTTTTAAAAATAGTAGTTTCTCAATGATACTAATAGTCCATACAACACATGCACTAGATTTCCAAGACTTTTGAAGTCATACGATCACTTTGCATTAGGACAGATTAATTCAATCACTTTTATTACATTTAAAAGTGTAGCCACAATATTCTTCAAAAACAAAAAGAAAGAAAGAAAGTCATACGGGTTTGACATGAGGGTGAGTAAATGACAATTCTGTTGAAAGCTGCGATACTCAGAACCGAAGCTCATAAAATCATCTGATATATGATGCGCAATCTGCGGTTAGTTTTTCACAGCAGCTGTGGACTCAACACATTACTTCAGACATGGCCAATGTCCAAAAACATTGACTGTAAATCTGTCAAGAGATGGTTTTCATTCCTGGAAGCTTCAAACAGTATTCCTGACCACACTCGAGGCGATAACCTCCCGTTATTCCTACGAGAGATGAAATATTGAAAACCAGATGCAGCTAAAGCAAAGCCACACGTCCATGTTTAGGGGTTAAACGCAAATGCTTAATGCACCTTTTACGCGGCTTGCACAGAAAAAACCCTCAGTAATAGCACACTGACCTGATGTAAAGAAATAAAGTTTGCACCGATAACATCCAGAAGAGAGCTGTAAGGACTGTAAATCAACTCAACTATTATGAAACCCCCCAATCATTTTATTTATTAAATTATATTCTTTAAAATTGTGTGATCTGGTTGATTTTAAACGTGCAGAGATACTGTATAAAGCACATAATAATTTATTTGCCAGATGTATTCAGACGCTGTCTGAAATGAGAAAGAGTCTGTATAAACTTAGGGAAGCGCACGTTTAGGGCAAGGATCAAATAAAATAAAATATTATTTTTTAATGAACACCTGAAAGGGGTGAAATAACTGTGACTTAAAAATATGAATTAAAAATATGTAGATTACTTTGCAAATTTAAAAAAAGAAAAAAAATTAAGTGATAAACAAATATATAACTGAAAATTAATAATTATTAATAAAATAAACAATTTTCTGTTTTATTTTTGTGTCTTTTTGTATAGATTAAATTTATTAGTGGAAGTGACACTTGTTATGAAAAAAGAGTAGGTAGAATTAGGCATGGGCCGGTATGATAACCTTAGATAAAAATATCACGGTTTCACGGTATTGCGGTTACAGCTCTAAAATATGCTATTTTTAAAATGTCTGGGTAAAAAAACAACTTTTTCCCCACTGAACACATTTTATTTTTAAGAAACATATAGAACATTTTGGAACAGTAAACATGTCAGGCTAAATAATTAAATTAGATAATTAAATTCTTCTTAATTAAGTGCAGTCACTTAAGTGAGCCTAAACCTGCAGCTCAACAATAATCAGAACAAATTATTTTCTGTAAAAAAAATAAAATAATAATAATAATAATAATAAAAAATGCAGGCTTTAAACCTGCAGCTCAACAAGGTTTTTGGAGACATACTCGCTTTCTACACATTCATCTTTCAGTCCAAGTTATGATGCAGGAATGGCACATACACACATAAGGAAAGAGAGAGCGCAAGTGTCACACACGCGCGCGCGGTCTCTCCGTACAACAGTGGCAAAGTTTTTTTTTAAATGCGTGATTTTGAACAGATGTAAACAATGGCAGGAGGCTTAAAAGTATAGACGTGATACCAGCTAAATGTAATTACTGTACTAAATCGCAGAAAAGTAGGCTACAGTATGTACTTTAGACTGCTACTCCTCACTCTGTGAAGTAACGTGAGGGAGGAAACTAGTTGACGTTAGCTAGTTAATTACCCATGTTATCTGCCTCGGTAGCAAGCCAAATAGTATTTATTTCAACACTGAAACAAACGGCGGGTGGGTCTCTGTCTTGATCGGGGGTGAAAGAGGGAGAAAACCGAAGATGGCACAGATATATAGTTTATGTTCGACTTACACCTACACACAGGTGACTCCGCTCGCACCAACCAGACAGAGAGGGGTCGTGTGACTCGCTACGCTCTTCTCTGCACACAACTGAGGGAGTCCTGCACTTTCCATCTTTGACGACACGTAAAACAACTGCGCATATCGCAGGAACGGTATAACGGGAAATTTTTGTGGTTTTGAAACCGAGACTTTTCCAATACCTTGAAACCGGTTATCGTCCCATGCCTAGGTAGAATAAGCTTCAGCAGCCTACACCTTTTTTGGTTTAATATGTAAAATTATGCATAATTATTATGGAACTATGCCGGAGGACTGAAATAAAAAAAAATTCTGACAGTGCTAACCTCAATCACACAGTAAACTTCAAGTCAGGTTTAAACTACAAAACAGCTGGAGTCTTTCACAAACCCAGAAACAAATGAAAGCCCATTCCAGATACCGTAATCTCCCATTCACAGATGTTAAGGCCTCTTAAAAATGCTCTACTGGATGGAACTTTTAATTTTGCGCTATAAACTGATCTGAGGCTGTCAAAAGATGATGAATCTGCTTGTATTAATCTGGAAACTACTCTATTTCCGACAGCAAGATGTCCAGTTGTGTACTATATCAATTTGCGAGAGTGAAACGGGGAATTTAGCGGAGATAAAGCAGGGTCAGGACTGAATGACGGGACAATAACAGTAAACTCTGGTGGACAGGAAGGAATGAGGAGCAGGGCACGAGGAGAGAGGTCAGAAACCGAACACATCAAGAACTCATGTCTGTAGAAGCGGATGCTGGAATAACTCACAGCAATAGCTGGATCACACACCGTTTCTATACTAGGGTTGTGAAGGTGAGGAAATTTGCCCACCGGATAATCGACGTGGGACAACACCGGTAATACCGGTATCACCGTTGGGGTGGGGGGCAGGGGGGTTAGTTAGTTTGAGTTTCCCTCTTTTCTTCGCTTTCAAACGGCTTGTAAAAGTGATGTGCGCATTTTACTTTCACTTTCAAATTAGCAGCAATTCGGCATTGATTCAATTCAAGCAACAATCAAAGCAACGTTCAAGCAACGTCAAACTCATAACTTTTATTAACAAAACTAATAAAAATACAAAATACATGCCCAATAAAATAACAAATTGCTTAGGCTACACAAAGTTTAAATAGGTGTATATAAAACTGAAAATCAGCAAACACTGTGGAACCAAATAAATAAGAAACATAGAAAGTTTATTAGCAAAATGAATAAGAAAGCTTGGAGGCACGGCATATACACCTTGATGTAAAATAAAATACACAAAGTTTAAATAAAGTAATCAGCAAACACTGTGGAACCAAATAAATAAGAAACGAATGTTTAAAAACAACTTCCAGTCAATAGGCTTTCCAAAATCTAAAATATTGCCAAACAAGCGCCTTCGCATTTCCTTTCTAAACAATCTTCTGCAATCTTTTTGTCGTTCTCACCTCACTCTTGTCAGTCAGCTCGACTCACTCTCCTCACGTGATAAATAAAATCTGACTCCTGCTCCGTGGTGCACTGTCGTTCGCGCACGGTTCGGCACGCTGCATTGAGCGTTTAGTTTTTAAAAGTGTCTGTCCTCTAACTGAACTAGGCTAAATGATTTTTGTTACTATAAAAAAAATCTAAACGACAGTGGGGGGGCGGTGCCGCGGTAGGCAAATGACGTAACCGGTGTTGCGGCTTAACACCGGAATAACCGAAAACACCGTCTATCGCAGCAAGCCTATTCTATACTGAAATCATCCAAAAATCACGTCACAACAGCTTGAGACTGTCTACACTGGAAAGAAAGCTGCATGTCACCTCATAATGTTTACTAATGAGGGACCAAACAGCTGTGAACAATGGTCCTAGATTATTTTCAATCAGTGACGGCGCTACACCGGGGCTAGGGGGGGCTATAGCCCCGGTTTAGCCCTCATTTGCGCTAAACCACGGCAACAGACGTATCGTCCTTCTGTAGGCTATATGCAATCCATTACATAGTCACTAAGGTTGTGATGTGGTGTTCGTTTGAATGTTTTATTTAAGTATGCACAGATCTGATTATGCATATAAATATGTATTGTGTTGTAAATGCTGAGCGCATGGGTGCTGCCCTGTGCTGTTTGCACATCTCACACAGTAACCTCCGCGTGAGCGCAGTTTCCTGCATTAGGCTACATTTAATCCATTACATAATAATCACTGCGATTGTGATGTGGTGTTCGTTTTAATGTTTTATTTAAGTTTTAAGTATGCACAGTTCTGATTATGCATGCAAATGTATTGTGTTGTTCATGCTAAACGCATGGGTGCTGTCCAGTTCTGAAGTCTTTCCTTTTTATGTAAAAAGTTGTCGTCGTTGTCTTATGGTCACTTATATTAAGATTATATCTATTTTGATGAATTTGCCTATTTGTTGGCAAAATATAAATTAAAACTACACTTCTGTTGAATATGGTGTGTACCATGCTTTTATTTTTAAAAAAACGTCAATTTCTTTATGAAGTAACTCTGACGTCATCAATATCATTTATTTTCTTAGCACCCCCACATATTGGTCTACCCCCCTTAGCACCGGAAGAGAAAAAATTCTGGTGCCGTGCCTGTTTTCAATGCAAATATGAATAAAAAAAATTAGATTTGCAAATTCTGTTCTGTATGGACAATTCTGTTCTTATTTACATTTTTACACAGCTTTTTTGGAATTGGAGTAAAAAAAACAAAAAAACAGCTGTTCACTCTTTTCTATGCAATTATAATAAAGAGGGACTTTTACTATACAAAACAAAGAGATTAGAATCAGCACAGTCTGACTTTGATATAATGATCAGAAGTTATTTAGATAAATGAAATTCATAATAAATTTAGAATATTTGTAAATATTTGTTCTATCGCAAATAAAATATAAGAGAAAATAATGCTGCTGAAGTAGCATCACAGATTAAATAAATAAATAAGAGAGAAAAATTAAAGGTTTCAGGTAGCCAATCACAAGTAGCAGAACAAATTTAATTTAATTAATTAATTAAGAGGAAAATAAAAGATTAACAGTAGCATCACAAATTTAAATAAACAAATGAATGATTTCAGGTAACCAATCAACAGTAGCGTCACAAATTAAATGAATAAACTAATTAACTAAATGAATAAAAAAGAAAAAAAGATTTCAGGTAACCAATCACGTGATATCATGGTTAATAATTTTCATGTTACAACCATAGCAAACAAAAACACCTGAATGCATCGAGCAGCCTATAATAAATAAATACAGAGGAAAATAAAAGATTAACAGTAGCATCACAAATTTAAATAAACAAATGAATGATTTCAGGTAACCAATCAACAGTAGCATCACAAATTAAATGAATAAACTAATTAACTAAATGAATAAAAAAGAAATAAAGATTTCAGGTAACCAATCACGTGATATCATGGTTAATAATTTTCAAACAAAAACACCTGAATGCATCGAGCAGCCTATAATAAATAAATAAAAATCTGTAAACAATGCAGATTTAACCAAACCAGAGCTGTACCAGAAGACTTTCATTTGAGAAAAGCATGAGCTTAACACTGCAGCAAGTGATGCTTTTGTGTCCATATTTACAGGCAGCCAAGCCTAATTTTACAGCATGTGCTTTAAGAAGTGTTGACAGCAGTGTATGGCTTTTGTTAGTATGCAAATAGAGAGTAAATAGTGAGTTGTGCCTGAACAGCAAAATATAAAGCAGCATATAACTGATATTTCCATTTGCAATCATTTCAGTTCAGTGTTAGTTATGTGGATAAGATCTGTGCAAAGACGACTGAACAATCAAAGATAAAGCTGGAAACATTTGATCCTAACTAGTTTCTATGTTCTCATGCACAGAGAGAGTATAAACTCTTTCCTCCATATAATATCATTCCACGTGACACAGAGTGATAGTCTATGTAGAGAATACACTGCAGTAAATACTGCGATTCCTACTATTTTTAATAAGATTGTGAAGCTGTGCACTGCATGGCATGCAACACTCAAACATAAAATAAACGGTAACACTTTACAATAAGGTTCCATTAGTTAATGCATTAATTAACAAGAACAAACAATGAGCAATACATTTATTACAGTATTTATTAATCTTTGTTAATGTTAGTTAATGAAAATACAGAGGTTCATTGTTAGTTCATGTTAATTCACAGTGCATTAACTAATGTTAACAAGCACAACTTTTGATTTTAATAATGCATTAGTAAATGTTGAAATTAACATTAAGATTAATAAATGCTGTAGAAATACTGTTCATGCTTAGTTCGTGTTAACTAAAGTAGTTAACTAACGAACCTTATTGTAAAGCGTTACCAAATAAATTTTAACTTATTAAAAATATTGCAAAAAAGACAAAAAAACAAAAATGTAAGCTTATTTTATTTCAGCTAGTTGCTAGGCAACAATTCTCATTTTCATGTATTTTAACTTAGTGTACTAAAAACTAAAACTGATATAAAAATGAATAAACATTTGAAGACATATAAAAATAAAAAGATAAAAACAAACAAAAAAAATACAAAAACTTTTAAATTAAAATAAAAACAAAACAATAGTAAAATAATAATAATAATTCAAAATATTAATAAAAACTAAATAAAATAAAAATACAAATTTTAGCTCAATAATACTAAAATAACACTGTCAAACAACAGTACGCAACGTTCACATTTTAAAATTAATTGATTTTTTGTTTTTGACCAAATCATGATTCAAGAAAGAGATCTTGGTTGATTTCACTTTCAGTTCAGTTCATTCATTGCACAAATAAAATTCTGTAGCGGCGCTAAAATGAACATCTCATTAATGTGTTTGCATTAACGCCGCAGCTACATCATCATAATTGTATGCTGCGCTTCAGATATTCAAACCTGCGCTTTTATCCTGCATTCGCCGTAATGATGGCATAAATTTTCCTGCAGACGAAGCTATTTATTAAAGCATAAAATAGTCACAGTACATGTTAGTGGTGATTCTGGGACGCAGTGACGTGATTGCAAGTTACAAATAAATTATTCCATACTTTGAGTTTTCCTCTTTGGGAAGAATTTTCAGAGCCAATTCTCACGAATCAGGAACCAATATCAAAAAAGTTAAAATGACACATTCAGTGCTTGTTTTTGAATTACTTTCCCAATGGTTCTGGTGAGTTCAACCTCTATCAATAACAAAAGAGACGGGATCTGCTCTTACCTGGGAGAAATCTCCGTTCTGCACAAGGTCGTGAAAGTCTATGTCAGAGAGGTCTAGACCCGAGGACGGGTTTGGCTGGAGCTGCCTGATAAATCAGAGGAGAGCGGTCAGGAACAATCACACACAGACCAGAATGTCTCCAAAGCCTTCAAATACTACTAGAATACAGATCGAGTCTGAATATTTTAGGGGTGTAACGGTACAGGTCTTTCGGTTTGGTACGCATGTTTTAACCACTGCATATGCGGAAATTACTTTAAAACTCCTAGTTTTACATATTTTAATTTTAATTCATCAATGATGACTCCTAAATCTCAACATCGATCTTTTAGTCTATGCTGTTTTCGTTGATGCGTGAATAAAACTTCACTAGATTGTCTATAGCGCACCTAGTTGTGTTTTATCATCTTGTCATCTTTCAAATTCTGTCCATTTTATCAGGAAATTCAAACAACAAATGCTTTTTGTGTCGATTATTATATTTATAGTATAGCATTTGAATTTAATAGCTTGTGCTCTGTTGTTAATTGGAACTTTTAATATTATAGTAATGTGCAAATAATAGGGCTTCCTATATAGTTACAGCATCAGCTGAGATAGATCTTTTATTCCTGAGAAAATTATGATTATAATTGAATTTATTTAAAGACAGAGCCACAATTTGATCATTAAACAACAAGAAGCATTTTTTGTGTTTAGTTTTTCTCCTTCTGTACCTAAAACTTACCAAACCATGACTTTAAAACCGAGGTACGTACTGAACCATCATTTCTGTGTACAATTACACTCCTAGAATATTTCATATCAGATCGCTCTATACATAAATACACAATGGATAACTATAATTTAGGATAAAGTGCATATGTCACATGTTTACAACTAAACTGCAATTGAAACTAATGTACTAAACACATTAGAGAGAGAATATATATATATATATATATATATATATATATAAATATATACACATATATATATATACATATATATAGATTAGTTTTAACTCATTTTGTACTGAGCATTTGTGCATCTTGGGTGAATCTCACAAAAACTATGAAGCAGACGGAAATTTCACAAGATATTAAACGTAGTAAAATTACATAAGCCTATTTTGTATTGCGACATTTTAATGTCAATTAAGTCAAAATCACATAATTTACCGTACGTTTTTTTAAAGTAAAATTATAAACAAACATCACTGTAGTCAAATCACATGAAAAAATGCAATACATCATTATAAAAAAAAGTCCCCAAAATAGGCCTAATTAATTTTTTTAACGGAAAACATGACTTTTTTTTCCACAAGACCCTTGTTCTACTCACTCAGTGAGGAAATTTAAAGAAACATGACAATTTTTGGTTTGGTTTTGAGTCACAGGGTCTCAGGTTCAAGATTCAAGTTCAACAAACATGTGCAGACCTTCAGCCTTAGTATAGCATAGGGGTAACCGTAACATTTACCGTAAACGGTGTGTCTTAATATAAAGTGTGTGTGGTTGTTCAGACATTATAAGGCTCAGTATGTACCTCCATGGAACTTGTGAGAGGAGGACTGGGAGCGCTGAACTTCGGGCTCCCCAGCTGAGGGCCCTCGGGGTGCAGAAAGTCCTCCGTTTCCATGACAACAGACGTGGCAAGAGTGGGCATCAGGCTCCGAGCAGAAACATGGTCACGTGTCAAAGCCCTGTCATTCTCCAGCCATCTCTGAGAGAGAGAGAGAGAGAGAGAGAGAGAGATCAGTCAGCATGATACTCGTCACAAATAATCTATTCGTTACAGTGTTTATAACTCAGACTGATGAGTCCTGCTGGAAAGTCGTCTTGTACTGATGATAAAGCAGAATGCATGATCACATGATGCTGGTGATGCACACAACTGCTTACCTGAACCTTGCAGGTTTGTTTGACCTATCACTGAACTGGCTGTGACAACTAGCGAGATAAAATGTACAAGATACAGATACATGCATGCATACGCATTCAGATATTTAGTTCTATTCTGCATTATTTATTTATTAAATGCATGAGTTTCCATTAACAAATGATCTTACCAGGTGATCTGAATGAAAAATATATAATAAATGCCTTTTTGTGGCATTTATATATTATATATTCAAAATAAAGCGGTTTATTTCAGATAGAAAGCTAACTGATAGAATGACTAGAATGTGAGACAGACATATGACAGGACTAATGGGTTAAAATATAATATATTAAATATGTAGGCAGCTTGGGGGGGAATTACACTACAAGTGTGTGTCAGTTTTATTCTGACGTCTATAACACAACCTGTCACTAACTCACCCTTAATAAAAAGACATTATCAACTTAAAAAGGTTTAAGTATCGATCAGATTGTGATCGAATTATCTGTCTGAGCGTTTGTCCACCTGAAAACCCTCAGCCACACAGCACTGACCCCTCAAGCACGCCACTTTGATATGATTACCAGCTCATATTGATTATTTAAGATTAACATAATTGATTTATTAGCGAATTGATCAACTGTCTGCGCGTTTTTCTGACTGACTCAATGGAGCGCTATTGTTTAATTCGTGCTAACATGCTAACCTGACAGAAAACTCACTCACCGCGCGTTAATTAAACCCCCCTGTACGCGAAACCCCTCCACGAGCACCAAAGACCACTCAATCTGGGTATTTCTTGATCGATAAAGGCGGATTGGAGGGGTTAATCCATATTCTTCTACCCCTGTACGGTTGTTTACCTACTTCCTGGTCGACGTCGCCATCTTGATCTCAAAGAAGGAGGACTCTTCCGCTGACGTCATCGCTAGGTGAATTTTGTGCGTTCAAAAAGAAAATAATTTGGTTTAAAAATGTAAAAAAATTAATTCGTGTATTTTATGTCTTTATTGTAAAGATATTCCGCGGTCTAAACAAGTATAAAACATGTACTTTTATTAATATTAAGGGGGAAAAAATTATTTTCAGTTATTGGAGGGTCCCTTCTGAGATAATCCAAACAATCAGCACCTATATAGGCTATACCGATGTATAATATTTAGTGTAAAATAATAAATTGCTGTAAAGTCAGAAGTGTGTTTGATCATGTGGGGGGTTATTGATGATGGGACTCTTTCTTCACACTAATGGACGGTAATCGTTCAGAGTCCGTGGACTTTGAAAGGTTTGCCCTGATTTCATGTATCCTCAGTGCTGCTGAGTAGCTAAACTACAGGACACACAGAGACACACTTGAAGCTCAGGGAAATCAAAGCACAGGATGCCTTATTGCAGTTTCTAGATATTTATTTGAATAGCTATTTAATAGCTTTTCGTTGTTTTTTCCATATATTGCTTGTGTGTTTTTGCTAGAGTCGTTAAATAGAGCTTTCATATTTGTGGATCCCTGATTTCTCAAATGGATTTGCCTCCAGAGATCAGTGTTTTTATTCTGTCTCTGACAGCACCTTTTATTCTCTACACAATCAACCAGGTGTCCTTCCTACAAGAGTAAGTTTGCCTCGTATGTCATTATTTTACAGTGATGCATGTTAAAGAACAATGCATTGGCATTAAACAATGCAAAACTGATCATGTTTAACAAGATCAAATGTTCAGAAGTGTGACTTTTAAACAGTTTGCATGAGTTTTTAATGATGTGACTTGGCCAAAAGAGGGCAATCAACCTCTGCTTTATTTCATCAAGTCATTCTTGCTTTCTAGAGTTCATTTGTGAATCTCATGAAAGCTGTCAAGAACATTCTGAGAGTCATATTTTTCATATTGTGAAATGATTTCATATAAATGTAATTCAGTTTCACGCTCAAAATTCTCATTACCACAATAAAGAAAGATATATTATTTAAATAGCAAATTACTTATTTATATTAAACAATTGTATTGCAGAATTTTTACTGCAATTCAATGAAATTTACTGTATTGCAATCATAAGAATCAAATAGGCCTCAACTTTGACAATAATGAGAATTGCATATGGTCCTTCTTTATGCAAATGATAACTTATTTTTAAGAAACATGCCTCTGAAAATCTCATTTATACACTTGAACTACAGCTTTAACCTTCATTAATGCTGAAAAAGATATATTATTTAAGTTGTAAATTATTTACACCATGCAAATATTTTATATCTAAATATTAAATATATTATATGTATTAAATATATTTATATTTACTAAATATTTTGTACTTTTAATTTATGCTTATTCAATTTTAAATAATTGTATTGAAACATTTTTTATGTAATATAATACAATTTACTGTATTACAGTCATAAGAATTAAATGGGAATTAACTTTGACAATAAATATATTTATATTTATTATATTAAATATTTGATACTGATTTTAATTTAAAAAAATGTATTGCAGCATTTTTTATATAATACAATAAAATTGACTGTAATACAATCATAAGAATTTAATGGAAATCAAAGTTTTCAATAATTAGAATTACATGCATTCCTAAAATAGACTTTCTTTTCTATATGCATGTTATAACGTTTTTTGTTGTTGTTGTTTTGGGGGTGAAGTATGATCTGGATAGGTTTTTGTGAGATTTAGTTTGTCATTGATCATGTAAGATAAAAACAAGCTCTGATAATCTCATTTTCACGCTTGGACTACAGCCTTATTCTGCATTATGAGTGAAATGGCATGCATCAAACTGATGTTTCGAATGACGTGTTTTCTCGTCCAGTCCACAGGTTATACTGGCAATAGGCATTATGGTTCTTACAACGATATTTCTCCTGGCAAACCTCAGTGTCAAGAGTAAAACATCTACCGACCCTCTCTTCTACGGTAAGACCAATACTGACAGATGAAGATGCAATGCAACAATACAAAAATACCCCAAAATACCACGAATGAAAGAAAAATGTATTACGTTCTCCAGACACACTGGGAAAAATGCGGTATACACCGTAAAAATAATTTTAAAATTTGCAAATAAAAGAAAGATTACTGGAGTTTTTCAGTGTTTCTGCTTTAAAAAAAAAAAATTTCTTTGTAATTGTTTGTGAAATTTACTTGCAATTTCTGATTGAAATGTGACATTTTTTTGTACAAACAATTTTTACTCAGAAATTCACAGATAATTACAAATAATTAAAGGTA